TGCCTTCGCTGTATTTATTTTCCTTTCTCCTCTCTCGCAGCTCTTTTTCTCCCTCTCCACCTCGAGGTATTTAAATTGATAACGCCTTCGTAGAGGGAGTTTCGAATCGTTACCTCCAGGTGCGACCTTCGCTGCGATCGGATGCACCTGCATTTTTCTGCATCCTGTATTGTCAGTGAAGAACCGAAAAAAAAATTAAATCCTACGTAATTGCGGGATAAACTCGAGAAACTTGAGGTGGAATATTTATGAAATTAGATTTTTTTTTTTTTCAATTTCCCCGAGGAATTATCCAAGGATTCGCTGCGATCGGATGCACCTGCATTTTTCTGCATCCTGATCCGTTAATAAAAGATCCGAAAAAATCCTACATAATTGCGGGATAAACTCGAGAAACTTGAGGTGGAATATTTATGAAATTAGAATTTTTACTTGCCCCGAGGAATTATCAAAGGATTATGAACTTTACGAGGCCCGAGGGGTCGAGCTGTAAATCTGTAAATGCATTAATAAGAATCATTACATTCGAGTCTGGACGTGATTTACGATTATTAGGATAATCTGAGCTGCATCCTTCGAGGTGCTCACGTCGTAGTCCTGCCTGTAAATTCGGAGGAAGGAAAAGTCGATTTTTTGAATTTTCTCTATCCGGTAATTCCGAGGAGCTCCAAAATGGCGGGGATTCCTTTTCTTTGAGTTCTATCAGAAGTCCTGGTAATTGCCAAGGCTAAATGAAGTTCTTTCGAAAACTGAGAGACCTCGAGGACCGTCACGTCCTCGACTCCTTTCTCGCGAGAATTTATCGCCATTGTCCTTTCCATTTCGCCTGTTATTTCCATTTATTTCCGAAAGAATGCCAGAGGAAGAAATCAACCGCACATCTTCGGACTGTCTTTTAGCCGGTCGCGAAACAGGGTCGACCAGTTGATAGTGAAATTAACATTAACATATTTTTTTTTACAGACCTTTTCGAGACACTTTCCTGCTCTTTTCCTCTGACTCCAATAAATCATTTTTTTTCTCTAAGAAATCTATATATATACCATCGCTCATATACTTTGGGACAGTGCGTTAAATATAAATAAAGTATTGATTTTTCTCCCATGATCGACGATTGGTAATAACAAAATCGTACTCAAGGTGAAATGTCTTTTTTCAACGTTCCCTTTCACTCGACGACCTTAAAGTCGGGATTCGATGATCGATCATCGATCTTGATGACGTTCCGGTTTTGCCCAAGGAAAGTGAGAGCCCCTGATCACTGTCGATCCTTTAATTCGATGATATCGATCTAAAAAAAAATGTCCTGAATTATTACCCGCGAGAGCAGAAAAGAAAAAAAATAAATAAACACGCAATATTCCCAACGAATCGATCACTTAACTCCAGTCAATATATTCGATTACCCAAGATACCACGTTATCATTAAACATTTACATCAGGAAATGGGATTCCATTGATTGCATCCTGCAGGGATGCACATGGAATAATTCTTATCGGATCAGAAAGGAACTTTCAGTCATAACCTGGAGACAGGTGCATCGGAAATGCAATTAATTCCTCTGCTCATAAACCTCTTCTCGGGATACATCCAAAATTTGGAGCCTGGGAGCTTTCCAAATTCGGGGCCGAGAGAAAGATTTCGGGATTTCTACGGAGAATTGCAGAATTACGGGGAAATAAATGACATAAACGAAGGGTTGAAGGAGGCGTTCCTGAAGACGCTGGACCCGGAATTGTACGACGTGCTCCTGTCCGAAAACGCGATCAGCATGTACGAGCATTACTTCTTCTTCACCGACGAGGTGGATTTCCTGAAGAGGCTGGACTTCTCCATATTTAACATAAGAATGCACTACGTGATCTGCTTCACTAAGTGTCTAGAGCGACGGAACATCCCAAAAGTGGCATTCGCCATCTTGGACGATCTTTGGTCTGTGATGGCGACGAACGCGGTGCTGATCGTCTGCGACCTCTTCAAGAACATAGAAATATACTCATACATGCCCTTCACCCCTGCCAGGTGCAACAACACACAGGTGTACCAGGTGACGGACTGGAGCGAGAAGTCGCTCTTCCGAAAGAAATTCCAAAATCTTTACAACTGTCCCCTAAAAGTGTGCTGCCAGACGACGCCGGAGTTCTTCTCCAAGAAGATGGAAAACGGCGTCGTAAGGTGGACAGGGTTCATCGCTGACATTTTTTACATGGCAAGTAGGGCCCTGAATTTCTCCACCGAGATCGTCGTGGAGAGTAACGAGACTGCCCCTGAGTCGACCAGGGTGGAGGAGCACAAGAGGATGCTGAAGAACAGGGAGGTCCACGTGATGCCCCAGGCGATATTCATCTCCGACTCGAAGATCACGGAGGACACCTTCATATTTTTCAGCGAGAACTACAATTTCATAATGAAAAGGCCAGGACTAGTGGCGGTCTGGAAGAACGCCTTGGTGCCGTTTTCAGGAGCCGTTTGGAGGCTGGTGACCATGACCCTGGTGGTCATCCTCTGTACGGTGGCGGCCATGGAGGACGATCAGCTGACTCCTCTTCTGGCCTGGTCGACGTTTTTCGGAGTATCCGGGAGATTGCCGAGAACCAGGGCTCTGAGGGTCCTGATGTCCCTCTGGGTGGTCTATTCCATGGTGATAACGAATGCTTATCAGGGGATCCTCGTTGGGTGTCTGACCGTCCCCAGGGTGGAGAGGCCGATAAAGGGCCTGAGGGAACTCCTCAATTCCAGCACCCCCTTCGGGGGGAAACTTTTTGCCAGGGATTACTTCCTCCTGGACGACTCTTCCCTAGGTAGGGATATCCTTGGTAGGTTCCACGTCATCGATGTAAAGGATGTACCTCGGAAATTGACGAGCATCCTCGATGGCGAGGACTTCGCCCTGGCCAAGTCTAGGGGACCCACGGTCTCCCTGAACCTGAAGAACTCCGAGACCAGGCAATTTTATATTATTCCTGAACCGATTATTTATTTCTATTACAAGTTCACCGTTCCTAGGAGGGTTCCATGGGTCACCAATCTCAGCTGGGTATTGGAGGCCATTTTGGAAGCCGGGTTGTCGGAAAAAATTTACATTGAGCACTTCGGCAAGTACCGGGAAAAGGTCCTGCCGAAACCTCCGAATGTTCTGCGGATCGGGCATTTGTATGTCGCTTTTGTGGTACTTTTTATTGGAATCTTTATCGCCACTTTCACTTTCATCGCCGAAGTCGCTCTGTATCGTTAATAAATATCTTGTCGAATTTTTTTCTCAAGAGCCCTCTACCACCCAGCCCACTCTAAAATAATTCATCGCACTTATTTAAACATTGCTTTGTTATTAAAAATATTTGATAAGGCTCTAGTTTTGTCTCCTCCATTTGCTCGATTTATTTATTATTAAATCGTATCTCCGTAGATTTCTGATTAGCTCCCGTCGGAGATTTATTTGCACCCCCTCATTAGATCTCCTCGGGAACTTTTTCATCCTGGGAAAGGTTCGAGCAGGATGCGTAATGCAAATGAACTCATCAAGTTCGGTATTACGGAGTTGCTCATCCGGTAATGAGAATTACATAACTCCTCGATCTCTCGAATGCCTTGAAGAGCTACAAAGAAATCGGCCGATAGGTCGATCTTCGAGGTTTTCCACATGATAGCCGATAAACATTTACACGTGATTACGCCATCAATATGTGTCCTTTCCAATTGTACTTAGCAGGTACTTAGGGAAATATGCCGAGACGATTTAACTCGCCGCGTGGCAATTTCGCTTTTTCTCCGTACTTTCCTTTCCGTCACTCACGGCCTGATAAGTAAACACGAGCTCTCACGTGTTCCTAATATATCCCCAAGCACGTATAAAACAATAATTATAAAAAACAAACCGTGAAAATGAATTTTATTTCCTCGTCGACGTGAATTTATTCACTGCACTTTGGGGCCATTGAAAGTGCTCTTTGTGGCGCAACGGCGAGAATTCTCCACAATTCATTTTCTTTTTTTTTCCTTTTTTCGTTTTGCGAGTATGAGCTGTCGTGAATCTGCCAGCTGATGGTAATTGCTCCCTTTGTATCGTTTTTTATGAGTATTCACGGTTAACGATACCTCGAGTAGGCTGCACCGGCGTAATTTAAGACGCGATGTAATAGGCGAGGCAGCTACTTTGCATAAAGCGCCGGCCAGAAGGAAAAGCATTTTTCCTTACCAAAGTGAGTATTATCTAGCTGCTGTTAAACTGCCTTTACGAAGAGGTTGAACGCTTCAGGGTGAGCAATTATTTTCCGGGATTTTTTTCGAAAATCCCTCGTCAATTAGGGGCTCTATGAATTCCCTGTAAAACTTTTAATATTCGACATACGCAATTACCTTAATTTTTCAAATTATCATCACCTCTGGAGAGATTCGACGAGCAAGGGAAATAAATCGGAAATAAAAATTGATAAGCGACAAATATCGTGATTTCATAGTACGGTTATTAAATGTATTTATTAATACGATATCGTGACACAACTTTATGAAATTCCTCGTTTACATGGAAATTGTAATTGCGTGAATACCTTTACGTGCAATCGGAAGCACTTTTTCCACGGAAGTAAATTGCATTTCTAGTACCTTCATAAATGGGGGTTTACCGATCGCCGGGTAATTACCTCTCGTCGCGTTTTGCAGCTGATTAATTTCGCCACGGATCGTTAATGGTCGATTTAACGGGAAATTAACACCTTTAGATCGGCACTTTTTCCCGAGCAAGTGTTTCTCCAGAGATCGCTGTATATGTCGAAATAAATGTTTATACCGGAAATTATTTCATAACGATGATCATGAAAATTCTTTATTATTTTAAGTTGGCCGGTTTAGATCGAACGGAAGGAGGGAAAATATATTTCGGGCTGTAAATGATTTATAATTTATTTATAATGGTGGGTGACACTAATTAAATAAAAAAAATAAATAAATAACGTTTGATAGGCTCCGTTATTAATTATGGATTATTAATTTATTATTGCAGGCTGCCAGAGAAATCCTGGAAGGAGTGCTCGAGCTAGCAGGAACGAAGCCGGACTGGAATTCGAATGTCCTGAAGAATTCGGGTATTATCCTCATCCTCGTGATTGCACGCAATATTATGTATGCGTATTCGGAGGAGCCCTCCTCGAGTCCTGCACAGGAGGACTCATGTACAGGTTAGTACACATAAGCAGAGAAAAAAAATTAATCAATGAAATATCAATTAAAAATGCTTAAAGTCCCAATGACAGCGACCGAGTGGCGGCCACGTGTCGATCAGCTGTTCAGCGACCGTCGAAAGTCTTCCGGAAGTCTGAGGAGGTCTCTGTGCTCTCGTTGGGCGAGTCGGTGCATTATTCATGACCGAGTGACTATCGGGAAGGTTTGCATGAATTTCACTCCGGAGGCTTCGGGTCCTTTGAGGAAAAGAAAGGGAAAGAAAGAAGAAGCCGATCGACCGATCGGACTCGATGAATCATCGATCGCCGGGATTTGCATAATCGTCCCACCTGTTCGGCGCGTGCAGCTCGTCATTCCTGGCACGATCCTTCTCCCTGACGTGATCTATCCTCGTTTTCGAGCAAGATCGAGTTAAGCAACCGGGATCGAGTAAAGAATTAGTTTGCCCGCGAAGAAACGAATGATTGTCAATTTAGCGTCGACCCCGTTACAATTGACATTGAACGTTAACAATCACGGTTAATTGATGCGAATGCGAGTATTAAGAATTTTTATAATGGACTGACATTACTTAAGTCGGCATTGAAAATTCAAAGTCGGGATTAAATGATGCGAATCCTTGTGTTTGGAATTTTTTATCATGGAGAATCGGAGGAATTGCGAAATTCCATGTGATGGGCAGAAGTGAAGTTTATTGGAGGACTCGTTTCCGCCATTCTTCCGGAAATTCTAAAAAGAGTGTCGTGGGATAACAAGGGAGGCCTTTTCGATAGGGAAAGGATCGAAGGAATGTTTTCTGTACGATGTAACAATGGCCGAGTTAACCTAAGTGTTGTAAAATGGGACGCCGGAGTACATGTCTCGCGTGCATGGTAAATGGCTATCCATGAGGTAAATCCTTGGGAAAAAAAAAAAAATCAGCCACGCCTCGGTTAAACGTAAAGAGGCATCGAGCCGACTATCGATCGCGATCTATCGATCTATCGGGGCTTAAGACTGGTTCTCACGTGGGCGGTTAAGGCCGCTCGAAATGTCTGCAAAAGCGTTTCCCGACTATTCTCTGTACCCCCAATTTTTTTTTTTAATTTACTCAATTGACACTTAATCGTTGGGAATTAATTCACAACAGAGAAGAACATTTCGGAGTAGCGGTGAATATATAATAAAAAATGTTTTTCATTTTCCAGTCACGAATTGCAGACTTGCGATTGGCCCCGAAACGTGGGATGTTTGGAGCGAGGAAATGCAGCTAAAGAAGCTGAAGAGGATCCCCTACTTGAAAGGTGAATTTAATTATTCATTTTCTGGATTATCCTGTAAGCACTTATCGTTCTCCTGGGATCGTATGGAAGATGCCAGGAAAAAATTGGAAATTTTTAAGCCCACTGATTAAATGATTTCACAACCTGGTAGCCTACTTTTAACGCGAGGTTAATTGAACTCTCGGGATTCGATAGTTAACTTTACCTCGTGGAATTTCAACTTTCGATTTCGTTCCTGGCTCGTTTCCAACAATCCCTCTTTGTACCATGGATTGAGGAATCCAGCCGATTCTTCAGAATTTCCCTGCTGGGTGTTGAGTCGTAAATTCAGCTCTCGTGATTCGATTCTAATCGCTCTTCACGGTTTTATGGGTGTGGGAAAGGGAACTCGATCCTTCGGTACTTTCAATCACATTTCATCCTGTGCAATTGTTTCCCAGAGGTGGTCCTGTTTTAATAGTTCCCGTTTAAAAAATGGACCGGCAAGCTCTAAAAAATTCGGAAACATTCGAGATTCATTTTTTTCAGGGCGATTAAAAAAATATATATTTATGGAAATTTAATACTGACAATTTTTATCCAATTGCGATATGTTACGTTTATTACGAGAAATTCAGCATTTAATGCGTAATACTATAAAAGGATATCAGTAAAGTACCATTCTAACGGTATTAATGTTATTACAATTTAGAAATTATTCAATCACTCCGGTATTACGAAATGCAATAATTTAACTCGGCGGGTGATTTGCGTAATGACGTCGCATCCGATGCCCAGTGATGACATTTAACTGACTCGATGATGGGACGAACTGCAAAGTGACTTCTCCTATCACGTAATCAACACACGTGGCATTCCTCGCTTTCGCCAGAAGTATAGTGATTTCATAGTTTAGGCAAGTCTCGCGTAATTCCAGAATTGTTGAGAAATAAGCAGAGAAATACTGACGACATTTATTTTGTTATTCCTTCCCCTCGAGGGTCATTAATTTCGGTACATCTTTCATCTTACCATGAAATACCCACCCCCGAATGTCGAATGCGCATTTTTATCCGCTGGTTTCCAGGTTTCTTTTTTTTTTTTTCGGCAGTTGTCACTTTGGTCAATTTCCCTCCGAGCTCCGGATTTCGTTTCGATTGACTCTGACATTACGTAAAGTGTAAATGGAGCAATCATCGGAGACAGTAATCACGGAGGATCATTGACACTGTTGTTAGCGAGTCGCAATCGCTCTCCTTAGTTTCCCAATGACCACTTATAGCCGGCTCTTTTTGTCTCTTCATTCTCTCCGACGTCCTTGCATTACGCTTTTGTCAGTCACATGACAAAAGTGCCGAAAAGAGAAGTCTTCGAATCGCAGGGAACGCTTTAAGCCTGCGCTTTCTAAGCGGCTTTCTATACTGAGTTTGGAACTCTCAGGAAAAAATTCCGTCCTTTAACACCCATAAACATTGTTCCCCTGAGACATATGGAAATTAGTCTAACGAGAAATAGAAAAGGAAGAGGCATTACGCAGTCGGAATTACATAATTAACAATCGAATTATTAAATCCTGGTTACGAGAACACTTGAAGATTTTCTTTAATCGACCGGAAACCATCCTTTTAATGATTTCTATTCCAGGGCAACCAAAGTCGAGACGATCCAACAGCATCATCAGCAACAGCAGCAACCTCAGCAACATCAGGCCAGACCTGCTCAGAGACAACAAATTCCTGTCAGCTCTTCTTCACCTCCAGTTTCAACGGTGACGGAAAGGCAACTTCGTCAACGTCAACATCATCAACGAACTTATGCCGATGACGAATACGGTCCAGCATCGGAAGTTGAAAACGATCGTCAGCAACGAGTTTATCGAGGACAGCCCTCCACTATCGGACAGGTGCAACGAGATCGCGATGGTCTGCGAAGGAACATCATATCGGTAATGAATATTAATTCTATTATCATAATCTGAAGTTTACACGTACGTCCCTTTTTACATGTCCAAGGTGGTAAAACATGAGGTTGGATCAGTGTTAAAATTATTATAACATTCGTTTTCGCTCTTGAGGGACGAGAAAATGGCGTGAAGGGTAAAGTGGATGAAATGGATTTCAGGATGAAATACGATTACATGGGTGAAGATTAATGCGACTCCGCGAAGGACGACGGTCGGTCTTCACGGATCGAAAGTGTTGCAAAAGGATAACAATTATGTGATCTTGCATAATTGAAAGTTTCATGAGATGTAAAGAGGGACGGCACGTGGGTTGAATGTAGATTACCAGCGTGTCTGAATTTTCGGTTTAAATTGCAATCTCGAAAGCTAGGGATTAATAAATAATTATTCCTTCGGATTTTCCGGGGGGATTTTCAGTTCCAGGTAGTTCGTTCATGTTCCTGCGTCCCGATTAGCGTTAAATATTATTTACAGTGATTTTTGTATTCCAGGAAAGAGACAAGGACAGCGTGGGCAGTTCTCGAGCGCAAGCCGAGTCTCATTACAGGTGACATACATTTATATCCCCTCGAAGATATATTTATTTCATATCCGTTTAATATACTCTTAACGATAAATTTTCTCCCCTTTTAATTGTTTTTCAGGAGCGTTTCCACGGAGACGCCGCGAATTGCCAAAACGACCGCCTCGACTGCACCTCCGGTTATTTCAAAGTCTTATTACAACGACGCCGATCAAAGTTACCCTTATTACACGATCTACGACGACGACGTGTCCATTTACAAGGACGATGGTAGGTAGACATTGAATGATTATTCCCAATTAAATTAAAAAAAAAAATAAGAAAGGGAAAAGAAACGACTCCCGAACGTCGTCGTAATTTCCCGCGGGAAATTTGAATTTCTTCGGGGAGGAATAATCGAAATTCGAAATGGAGGAAACGATTGTCGGGTTTCTCTTGTTTAAAAAAATCCAATGGGAGTGGAGATTCGTAAGCAGACCGTAACTCGGAAATGAATTTCAAATTTCAAATTTCCCTATCTGATTAGGACAGGTGGAATTTCGTTGTACCTCCTCTGTAAGGAGGGCATGGTGCCAAAGAAACTTCCTCGCTTTCGAGATGGCTTAAGTGTTAAATGTAATGACGCTAATCATTAGGGATCTCGTTAAAGAGTCTGCGGGGCCTTCATCGACTGTGACTAACGATATGCATCCGATATCATCGGCTGCAGGGCTCGCAATTAGAGTCTCTAAGGTGCATTATGCAGAATAGAATTCCGGTCTTACAGAAGACAGGAAAAATCCAACCGGCCATTTATCGTCCACCATAAATCAGAGATAATCTCTGTACTCCGGTTTCGAGTACTTATCACTATCATTGTCGAGGACTGATTTTAACTGACGGCTCAATTGTTGCGCCGAAAGGAATAGATCTTTTCCCTAAAGAGGAGAGATTCACATGAAATTTCAGAGAGTCGCGGTGAAATTATTAATTCACCCCGACGATCTTAATTGCCTTTAGCTGCTTGCGTATGTGATTATTATTCAGTTTCAGATTACAATCAGTACACCGTAAATCATTCAGTCCCCGTGCAGCAACAACCGCAACAGCACAATGTCAGAATAACCGAGGTTACGACAAACTCGAAGCAATACACGCAAAAGCCGAAAAAAGTTGCCGTAAACGACGCCGATAAGTACAATGTTAACCATGACGTCACTGTTCAAGACTACGACATCTACGACAATCAGGTGCAGCCCGTCAATTGAGACTTATCAATCCCATCGATTAAAGACCCTTTTATTCATTGAAATCCCTTGACATTTTTTATTTCAGGCTCAACTTAATAAGAACAAGTTCAGATTAAACGACGGCCAGCAATCGCTGAGGTGAATTATATCTTTCACATTAGGGACCGAGAATAATTATTTAATGTTAAATATTTTTAAAATAACGAAGACGTTTATTTTCCAGGACGAACGGGCTGAGCCATCCAGTGATTCACGCAACGACACCTAATGCCATTGTTGACACATTTGTACCTTTGACAACAACCACCCAATTGCCAATCACGACTGCCAGACAATATGCCATAAGTGTTACCAGGTATGATTTAAATTCCCCGGGGTATATATATTTTTTAAACGTTAATGAAGATTGAAAAATCACGAGGGTAGCTAACAATTGCAGGTATTAAGTGAGATGAAAATGTTCAATTAGGGTGGTCTCCTCTTCTCGCAACCTCCTAAACTGGAATTTCACTTTCTTAGTGCTTTCACCCGAGTTGAATAAATCGGACACGTTAATATTTTATTTCCGGTAAGGCGAGCAACGAAGCTAACGTGTCTTTCATTCCTTTTGCAGTCGAGGACGACCGCAAGTTAACCGCGGCACGGCTCCGCCGTAAGTATAATTATTTTTCTTACATAGTCGAAGAATTACCGAGCGGAGTCTCGGTACTTGACTTAGAACCGGATCGCTCGAAATAGGCACTTAAAAGAAAAAAGAAAAAATATATATATATCGAACGATCGGCAATAATTCATCGCTGTGAAAGTGTACTTGTGAATTTTTTTCATAATTTTTAATAATCATTGTGTCCATTTTTCAGACGCTTGCGGCCAACTTTGAAACCCTCCACCGAAATCGTATCTAAGGCGCAGGAATTCGTCGATATCTACAGATTCCCACCAACTAGACCAGCTCCAATTTATCCAACTCCGCAGGTTGATAAGCCAGCTGCGAAATGTCGCAAAGACGTGTGTCTGCTTCCAGACTGCAATTGCGGCGGTTCTGATATCCCAGGTATTGTGTCTGATAACACGCGCATAAATTTCACCACACATTTTCGAGTTCTTAATAATTCATATATATATTTATATATATTATAAATATCCGATATTTGCCGGATATCGACGGGTCGACGCTCCTGAGGATAGATTAATCCCTGCCAATTTAATTCCAGGGTCGCAAGTCTGATTAATCTTTAGATCGATTCGTATAGTCCGGGACACTTTCTGGAATTCCAAATTCTCAAGAAAAAAAAAATGAGTCGTTGAAAGAGATTATTGAATAAATTAATAAATTAATGAAAAGTCGATAAAACGCGCTCCGGCATTTTCACATAGTCACGAGGCACTGTCCCGGAATATATTAGCAGTACTGTGCATCATTATGCCGGATATGATCTACATTCCTTAAACGTTTCTCCGAAAAGCAACCTCGGAGAAAGTGGACCGAATATCTACTTAGTGTTCTCTCGATACGGATCGATCGGTAATCAATAGCCGATAAGAATCCCGGTAACAATTGTTCTAAGGTCGTGAGGTATCTCATTTTTGGCTGCTTGTCGTATTTTTTTTGGAATATTTAGGGGAATTTTCGAGTTTAATGGAGTCTTAAGGACGCTGGGGAATCGACTTCCAAAATGGCGGCCGGTCTCGATTGAATATCGACGCACCACGGTGATGCAATTGTCCTGGGGCACCGATCGCGTTCCGAATGTTGATTTTAACGATCGATTTAGTAGCAGGACTTTCTCCGATTCTAACGTTACATACTCGTTATGTGCAGGACGTTCGAAAGTGAAACAGATCCGTACGGTCGTTAATAACCTCGGTCGTGTACTGTAAGTAGAAACGACTCCGCGTCTCCCTTTTCGTTGACCCTATATACTACATACTACAAGTGATTATTTCCTATTAGTTATTTTCTACATCTTCATCCACGAATTACAGTGATTTTTATCACCAATTCCTTGCACCAGGCTGCTTGATAAAAATCGGCGCAGATTTATTCCAAAGAAAAATCTATCCAATTTATTCGACTGTATTCCAGTGAAATGATTATTCTTTGAATTATGAAAATATTTCCTTGGTTTAATGACACTTTTTTTTTTCTGAGCGTATTTTCGAGTACAGCGAGGTCCTTAATTGTCACCAATCAGTTGGTTAATATTATTGTCATCGATTAACCTCGATTGGTTCGATCGAAATGTTTAATTTCTTGCAAAATCGTAGGAGGCGGTAAGATCATTGTCATTGATTAATCTCGATTGGTTCGATCGAAATGTTGAATTTCTTGCAAGATCGTAGGAGGCGGTAAGATCATTCTCATTGATTAATCTCGATTGGTTCGATCGAAATGTTTCTTGCAAATCGTAGGTGGCGCTAAGATCATTCTCATTGATTAATCTCGATTGGTTCGATCGAAATGTTGAGTTTCTTGCTAATCGTAGGTGGCGTTACTGCCGAGGAGACGCCGCAGATCGTTCTGCTGACGTTTGACGATGCCGTGAACGATCTTAACAAAGAATTGTACACGGACTTGTTCGAAAAAGGCCGGAGGAATCCGAACGGATGTCCGATCACTGCAACGTTTTATGTCTCGCACGAGTGGACCGATTATAGCCAGGTGCAAAACCTCTACGCGGACGGCCACGAAATGGCCTCCCACACCGTGTCGTAAGTCACCAACACAGGAAGAAGATGCGAGAGCCAAATCGAATCTCTAAACCCAAAAGCAACCGCAATGACATGAACGATTTCTTGCACAACCGCAAGCGTAAGGAGTTACCGAAGTAAAGACATCGCGATCGAGCCTCCCTCAATAGTACTTGGCTCGAAACGCTGCCGAGTCCCAACGACACCTTCCGAAAAAAAAATTCAAAACCGTTCTCAATAATTCAATAAAACGCCTTTTAATTTTTTATAATTTATGCAATGAACTGAGGATTGAAGAAAAAAATGTTATTCTCGGATTTGTCTGTTGTTTCTAATTTTTTTTAATTTATTTCCTTCGGTCGCGTTTGTGGCCCCATGCTTGTCGATTATGGGTGCAGCAAATTGATTTTACTGTTTTCCGGGGTCGAGATATATTCCTTACGTCTTGACGTTTCGTGCAATTAATCGTACCGAGAGGAAGTTATCTTTACGTCGATTGCGCGGAATTTTGGAATTTATTCCCTTGGTAAATGCACTAGCGGTTGGGAGTTAGTCGGGTAAAGAGGTAAAGAACTCGCGTGCAGGATAGAAAAATGTTCGCAGAGAAAGGAAATCACTGTCGTGCCAGAAGTCATGCGTGTCATTAATTTTAAGCGAGGTCATTGGTCCTGTTACTCGATGCATTTGGGTCTCTCTCATTGCACATATCCTTCAGGAGCGTTTAACCGATTCTTTCGCGTCTCGTTTCGAAAGGAAGTCCTTAGAATGCCCGATATATATTTTTGAAAAAAAAAAAAAGTAGATAATAAATCTGGAATCATAATCGACATAGGACAGCAAAGAGATCCAGGCTTCCGGTCTTGAAAAAAATGATTTCCTATCGAAAACGAGGCCCTCTTTATGGGTGACTTTTTACTCCACCTGTCTCCTTAATGCACCCAATTTTCTGATTTCTAAAAATCGATCATTGCATACAATTAATCTGCAGTCGGGTGACATTAAGCAGACAGGTGCTGCACCGAGAGGAACATTAAATTGCATTAACATTGCATCCTCTTGGCGCAGTTAATGCAAGAAAATTCCTCGGTGCAGAGCACTATCTCTTATCATTAACGCTGTACACTAACAAGATTTCATTTTCTCTCTCCCCCGTCTTTCTTTCCACAAATTCCCGCAAAAATCATGACGAATGCTGAAACGTGACAAAATGCTCACCGTCACCTTCCCGAATCATGAACCATGAAATGACGCGATAACAAAAAAAAAAACCTAAACGGACGGAAAATGTTGAAAAACAATACTTGACGAAACGAAATTGGACGAAAATCCCGACTCCTGAAAATCCCGGAAAAACGGAAAAAAAAAAAAATATATTCCCGAGCAGGTGACTACTTGCCGGAGGAGATCCCACAAATCGTCCTCCTGACGTTCGATGATTCCGTCAATGACCTAAACAAGGGTCTTTATTCGGACCTTTTCGAGAAGGGCAGAAAAAACCCGAACGGATGTCCTATCTCTGCGACTTTCTACGTTTCCCACGAATGGACCGACTACAGCCAGGTCCAAAATCTGTACGCCTCCGGTCATGAAATTGCCTCCCATACGGTCTCGTAAGTACTAGTCTAAGTACGTCATTAGACTTGACAAGAATTGACGAATAATTGGAAATTAAACGTACGACAGATCGGAAGAGAGGCCGCGAATTTATACATTCATAGGCGTATAAATTTATAAATTTATAATTTTATATATTTATAAATTTACACTCGAACGGTCCACACTCACTGAACAAATAATGCGGAATAAATTGCGAGACAGCTTTTGCCGGCACATTTTCTTGCTTTCGATCATGCCTATGTGGGAGTTCATGGGGGGGAAAAAGGAAAACAAAAAAAAAGGGAAAAAGGTAGTCGGCTTTCACCAACGCGGAACTCACTTCAAGTCAACTGTGACTTGTCTAGGATCGATTACATTCAATAAATCAGGGAATTATCGACCGGCCATTGTTCATTTTTTCCCGGGTTCTCGACCGGCTTTTCTCTTCTGGGATCATCGCTTGAGTCATCGAAGCAACGTTCAGATCATGACACTCCTTAAATATTTATTTCCATTCCACCTCTCAGCTGCTTTTAATGTGGTTAAAAAATCCCCTCTAGTCCGGGAATTTGTTTAACAGCGAAATCATTGGGAATCCCACGGCCCCTCTTTCTACACGTTTTCCAAAAGTAGGCGTCGTTCTAAATCCCGGAAAAAACGATGAAACTTGAAAAAAGATCTGATACTCTTGAAATTCCCTCGTAATTGAATGACCTCTTACCTGATAAATCATTTCGAGAAATTAAAGACGACCCCCACTTTCAAGGAACTCGCCATATCTGGAGTGCCACGTGAATTCCGTTTCGTATCTTTTTCTTTTTTTTATTTCTTTTGCGAACAAGCAAATCGTTCTCCGCAGAAAGATATCAGCAGGAAATATTAATATTTATCCGGATCATACGTAGTGAAGATAGAAGCACTAGCTCGGTAGATCAATCGTTTGCTTTCGCATTTTCGGCGCAGTACTCGAAAGAAATATATTTCCAATCAATTATTAATATGGCCCACCTTCGATTGATCGATTTTTGCCTCCACCACTAGGCACAGTTTCGGTGAGCAATTTTCGCAAAGGAAATGGGCTCGCGAGGTGGCTGGTCAACGAGAAATTCTCTCGGCTTATGGTGGCGTCAAATTGGAAGACGTCAGAGGGATGAGAGCTCCGTTCCTCTCGGTAAGTGAAGTCTAAAATGCAGAAAAAAAAATGTCAACCAATCAATTCCGATATTCCGAACATTCTGTGCGGAATAAGATTTTATGTGAATTTTAAAGAAGTTAGAAAAAAAAATTGGGGCGAGATTGAGTCCTAAGTGGGTGGTGATTTTCCACGTGGGAGGGTACCATGCTATTCAGCAATCCTACTAACGAAACGTCTCTATCGATGAGCCAGAATTATTGAAGATGTTTTATTAATTACTCCCAGGTGGGAGGCAACAACATGTTCAAGATGCTATGGGATACGAACTTCACCTACGACTCATCGATGCCGATTTACGAGAATCGACCCCCGAGCTGGCCATACACCTTGGATTACAAGCTCTTCCACGACTGCATGATCCCCCCATGTCCGACCAGGTCGTACCCAGGACTATGGGAAGTGCCCATGGTGATGTGGCAGGACTTGAACGGTGGAAGGTGCTCCATGGGTGATGCTTGCAGCAACCCCCCGACCCCTGATGGGGTCTATAAAATGCTTATCAAGAATTTCGAGAGGCACTATACGACCAACAGGTTGCTAGAACAAATCTCCCCATGGGGAAATTATCCTCAGGGACCCTGAATATGGAATTACCGATTAATGGGGATTTATTCCAGGGCACCCTTCGGTCTGTTCTACCACGCCGCGTGGTTCACTCAGCCACACCATAAGGAAGGTTTCATCTCCTTCCTGGACACCATCGTCGCCATGGACGATGTCTGGGTCGTGACAAACTGGCAAGCTCTCCAATGGGTGAGAAACCCCACCCCGTTGTCTCTCATGGGGAATTTCGAGCCATTTGGATGCAATTATGCGGTAAGAGTCTCGTAATAACGGCGTGATATGTATATATAATTTTTTTTTTTCTTATCATCTCGATGTCATCCCCGGTCCCCTAATTGTTATTTACTACGTGGACATTTTAATTAACGATTTTATTTAATCTTCGGCTGATACGTTTTACAGGATAGGCCGAAAAAGTGCAATAACGCGAAGGTGTGCAATCTGTGGCACAAGAGTGGAGTGCGGTACATGAAGACGTGCCAAGCTTGTCCTGATATTTATCCCTGGACGGGGAAAACGGGAATCAGAAGCAGCCGAATTGATAACGAGGTGGACACCCACGAATGAGGCGAAATTCCACCCCTCGAGACCCGATTAGCGATAAGTTAATCATTTCCCGACCGCGACTCAAAGCGTTTCCCGAAGAATTAGACGCGGCGGGAATTTTTCTCTGATGACCGAGTACGCCGAATTATTATCGGCGATCGATCGATTAATCAGGTAATTAGGAATTGACAATTATACAGACACGGATGGCACCTCGAGTTATGGAAAGTGAGGACGACGGAGCTCACAGGAGGGTGAAATTGAAGGCGAGGATATGAAATTGAATGTGCGTCCTTCGGCGTACTCGGCCGGGGGTGCGACAAGTCCATTTATTTAAATTAATTCTTAATTCATACTTAAGGGGGTTAATAGATTACGAATCAAAGTGATCATAAAAGCGGATGGAAAGGCGTAGGAAATATTTACACGACTGTATTTCTTTAATCTCATATATCAAGTAGACCTTATGATATGAAAGGAGAAAAAGAAGCGTTTCAAAATGGCGGACTCTCGAGGCTGGAAATTTCTGATTCATTTATTAACGCGTGAATAATTCCGGGAAAATGGGAAGGAAAAAAATGGTTATCGTGGGTTTAGAAAGTAGGAGAGATTTAAGTCCACTTTGATAAGAATGTCATTTATAAACTGTTAATCCCCTTAAACGATCGAATTCCCGACTCTTAATCGAGGTCACCGATCAAAAGCATCGGGTCGGATGAGGACCTAATATTATGTAATACTGTTTGTTTTTCTTTTTTTTTTTCGTATCGTCGACGTAAACTTATATTCGTAGAACTCGATGTTTAAATTGTAGGAAGCTCCTTTGTACATATGGAATTTTTTTAAACGATCGTTGAATCTGTCATGGCAGCCTCGCGACGAGAAAGAGGAGATTGTAGCTTTTTTAATGTCGGGGAACTTAATCGGGAGCTTCGCTTTTATTGCAAATGTCTCGAAGGAGGGCCTTAAAAGTGCCTTCGCGGAAATTTGTTAAGGGAGGGAAGTAGACATGTGCAATCCTTTTTATACGATCCACCGAAATTATCGAGATGGGGATCAATTTCCGGTGAAATTGCATCGTCGGTGGTCTGGGCTGTATCCTCGAATCGATTGAAAATTAATATGCGATTCGAGAATGGGGCCTTATCACGAATCATTGTATTTTCGAGCGTACCACCAATTGCGAGAGAATCCTCGTGTTTACCTCCTAGAAACTAGATGCATTATGCATTTAATAAATAACCATTTCGGTACACTTACTCTCGACTTGCATATGCTCGAGAATGATGAATAGAATGACCCGTCCATTTAAATTAATTTCAATTTCATTAATCACTTTCAGGAAAATAAATCATCGGGTAATGATTTTCTTTTTAAATAAATTATCCAACGAAGATATTCAGCCATCGATGATTAGGAAATGGCAAATAACAACGCTCTTCGTACTTGTTACGTAATTATTAATGAGGCGGTCTCAATACTTATTGTTAATTGATTCAATTAAAATATATTACATTTCGTGGTGAAATATTAATTAAGAACAATTATAAATACTAATTATCCAGCATGAGGCGTCTTTGTCTACGTTCGCATGGATGTCTCGTTAAAGTGATTAGACATGTCAATGCCTTATCGTCGTTGCAACGAGAACAATTGACAGGGTCGTTGCGACATATACATTAACATATACTCTAGACTTTCCGCTATAAAAGTACAAAAGGTAGTCCCGCCTCGCTAGAAATCTTCGCTCTTCATTATATTATCATGTAATAAATTAATAACGTTAAATACTGATCTACAGAGTCTGACTTATGGCGGGCGATAATTATCGTAATTACTCTATATGGCAGTGATCTCGCTACTTACATACGTAGAATGTCAACGCTCACACGAGTACGTTTATCTGTACAGACATGCTTTCATGAACTATTCGGTGATCTGTCATTAATCGACAGGGACTTTTTTGGACCGTGGTAATAATCATTGCGAGAGCAATTAATATACTCGTTTCTGGTCGGTACGGATTAAATGCGATCTCGATGGAATGACTATTAGATGCGCGATGTCGAAGGCTAGATTAGGAACTCGGTAGAGTTCCTGGATTTCACATTAACCCCTTCGTCCATTGTTTCTCAAATTCATTCCCGGGACAATTGTTAACGATTCCAGACGTTTCTGACCTCGTGCCGAGCGCCGGATTTTCCGCACGCTCGGTCTAGCATCTTTTGGCTTTGTTAAGTCTTAATTGTTAACGCCTTATGCCTTAAGGGCTTATGCGAAAGTGCCGTCAAAGAGGTCTTTTTTACAATACCTATCTCCAGACCAGGTGTACCGAATCGTTTCAAACTGAACAACTTGAACACGTAGGCCTTGACATGAAATTTGTTTATAGATATTTCTTGAATTTTGTGTACGTTCAAAATTGCATCCTGAGATGCCACTTTCGCATCGCCTTAAGGATTTACGGAATCCGAGGTGCGGGGAAACTCCCGCTCTTTTCCACGTATAGGAGTTCCACTTCCACTCGATCATGGGGTCTTTGGAGGTGGCGATGTTGCACAAATTGCACCGATCGAGGATTTTTATTGCACGGGGCACGAGCTAAGATGAATATTGTGCAATTCGGCCATGTCCGTCCAATCCCGCCTTTCGCCTCCCATCATGACGTTCCGAATGCACCCGTTGAAATGGTCCCGACTGAGCAATGTTCCCTTGGGAACGGAGGCTGCGATGTAAAATTATTAACAATTATTCTCAACGTCACTAATGAAAAGAAGATCCCGTAAATTGTGGTAATATTAAATGATAAAGGGGAAGGTCAGTAGTCGACGGTAAGAATAAAGATGACCAGTGTCACTTGAGAATCTTTAGCCTTAACTTGCGGTAAAGAGTTCCGGTAAGGAAATTTGTAAGAAACGCGAAACTTAACCGAACAAAGTAGGTCGATTGAAGTTTCTTATCGTTCACCTGGCAGTCCACCGATGTACAAAGGACTCGATCCAGTAGAGCCCATGAAATGGTAATTGACATTGGCAGGAAGTCCAAATTTCTGGTCCAGCTCGTCCACCTTCAGAGTCAACTCTTCGTCGTTATAGACCGCCTGTATCCTGTGCCACCGGTTGTCGCATATGGCATAAGGACTCGAGAAATGTTGCTCAACATACAGGGGATTATTGTCGCCCAGGTCACCAGACATTATGACTTTGCCATTGTTCAGCTCTAATGCCAACGAAGGAGTGCCTCCAGGCGCGGTTACGGAGAGCAAAACCCCCGACAGTTCGGAAGTCCTGAACTCAAGTTGAAGTTCCAGGACGGCTCCCAGTTCGAAGTTCTTCTCTGAAAAGGGAAAGCCAAACTGTACCTGGAGAAATTATCTTGTACGATTAAAATTGGCAAAACTGCGCCCAGGAGAAATTACTGTATATCGCGTAAGCGTCATCCTGGAAGTAAGCTCCACTTTCGACACTTGGGAAGCATTGTCCGACATTGTAGGCTCTGCTTGTAGAGCCAACCATGTCGTAGATGTTGCCGTTGACTCTGAGGCCTCTGATGCAGCCCTTCAGGGTGTCCAATTTGGCGACAACCTGGTCCGGAAGTGGAGTACCACTTTCGGGGAGGCCACCGATGTACATCATGGACGCCAAGCCGATTTTCCTCGGAACTTTGATAGTCCTAGGGGTCTGGGTGTCAACCACCAATGTCAGCTTCCTCTCGTCGTGGCTTATCACCACGTGGTGCCAGTTCCCGTCGTTGCAGGGGGTTTTGAATAATATCTCCTTCTTCTGCTTGCTCTTCACCAAGAGGGAGAGCTGCCCATCGCGGATCACCACCATCAGGTATTGCTTCAGTCTCAGGCCCTTAATAAATTCATCGAATCGGATCAAGGTCCCGATACCATATAATATCCTTATCACCAAAGTCTGATAACTCGATTTGGCATACCGGAGTGATGAACAGCAACCCGTTCGGGTAGTAAGTCCGGAAGTCGAACTCGATCACGTACTTCTTCTCCCAGAATTTCTTGAAGTTCAGGTACAGTTGCGTATGACTCTGCGGCTTATCACCGAATTTTAGAGCTCCGGGTTCCAGAGAGTAATATGGCACTTTTTGACATCCTTCCGGCTGGGTTGACATACCTCTTGATAAGGATGCAGAAGGGACGTAGGTTGGAGGGTCCTTGCCCAACCTAGGTCCTGATCGACCGATCAGAGCATGATCGAATGCGGTGGCCTCGTCGAACCTCAAGACCCTGAGAAAATAAATTTTTTTATTTAAACAATCCACGGTAATAAAATATATAATTGACCCAAGGAAGTACATTTCAAGAACTGGGATTCAATGTATATGAATATTAATTCATATATCCTCCTTTGAAGGAGAACGGTGCGATCGAATCCTGATGTTTGATATTAATTAATGTTAATTTATTTTATTTTTACACTTACTCGTCGTTAAAGATAGCGTCCTTGATCGCACCGTACAAGGGAACGGTGGTCCCTATCATGTTTGTATTATTTATCAATGCTGGCAATCCCCCAAAAAAGAGTCCACCATTTGATTCCGGGGCTCTGATAGCCGCTCCTGTTGGCAATCTCCCACTGCTCTGATAAGCGTCATCGATCCTCAGTTCCACGTCTTTTCTCTTCTTCAGCACCAACACCGAGTGGTACTTCCCGTCATTGAAAGTACTATTACTCCGGATCATAAGTTCACCTCTTCCCGAATTAATGCGCACCTGAACTTGTCCATTGACAACGGCCACGGAGTAGTAGCTGTCCTTCTGTAAAATCCAATAAGTGTTGATACCATTCAAACTCCACCTTATCAAAATCTTAATTCGGTAGTGCAATTACAATCGAGTCTCCCTCCGATGTCTGCATATTGGTCAGTCTCTCTTCCTGTCCCTGGAAGGTGGACAAAAGGAGCATGGCGTCACTCTGCATAGTCCTGAAGGAGAAGCTGATAGCCGAGGATATCTTCTTCAAGGTAAAAGCACGGTGCTCCAAGTACCCATCCCCATAAAATCCGACAATCTTCAAGGCCTGTTGATAAGATTTCAAAGGATTAACCTTCCACTTTTCAATTCTTCCGACCCTGAAGAGCGTGACCCTCTCCCACCGCTTTTCCGACCTTCTTCCCGCGGCGTAAAAAATTAAAAAAAAAAATATCCACGATCAAATGAATAAAAAACCATTAAATGTATGGGCCTCGAGACCTCCCTTGGGCTTTCATATCCACGTGGAAAAAGTTTCAAGGGATTCGATAGACGCGATTTGGAGGGATCTCATATATAGACCGAGGGTTACTTTGTTTTTTACATCGCATTGAGATTGGATATCAGCTGATTAGTAATTTATTTTTATTCTACTACTCACTCTGTTCCCACAACTCGGCTCCACCCCGTAATACTGTTCAGCCATGGGGTCGTAACCCTCTTGGATGATGATGTTCGACATGCAACCAAGGAAAGAAATCTGGGAGGGAAGAAGCAGTTTTTCCGCGTGAAAACTGGGAGGCACTCCACCTATGTAATACTTCGCTTGCGCTAAATCAGGAATGTCTTCATTTTTCGGCTGAGGTGTCGGAGCTCCTATTTTCTTGTCCACCTCGCCATTCACGCTCAGACTGCACTTTTCAATGTTCTTCCGGAGTTGGTACTGCCTGAAGGCATCGACTTTTGTCCAGTTCCCATTGTTGTACTTCTGGGTGGAGGACATCTCCATGCTGACGTTCCCTCCATACCCGACATGCAGGATGACTCTTCCTTCCCGGAGGAAAATCATGATATGTTGACTCTGTTGGGAGGAAACCTCGTTAATAAATATTGTAAATTCTGCCAATGCTCTAAACGACCCGAGGAAAATCTAGGGATGAGGAAGCTCGGGGATAAATAAAAAAATTAATAAATAGATATCCACGCGTACGTTCTCTTGATTGATCGCCAGGAAGAGGAGGGCGTTTTCGTCGAAGGTCCTGAAACTGATGGAGACTCCAAATGTGTATTTGTTGTAAGGACCGGAAGATACTCTGCTTCTAACCGCGTAACCTTCTCCATTAAAACTGTAAGCGATGTCATCTCTGGCATCCTCCACCCTGGAAACGGGGAGATTGGATTGTTACAATTAATAACCAGGTCTTAGGATGGGCATTAAGGGGATGAATTTTTCTACAGGCGGTTTAGTGAGATATTAAATTAATAAGAATTATGAAGTCTGGTCCGTTTCGTCCAGGTGTGGAATTTTTATTAATTTAATATTACCCTTCCATGCACGCCTCACACGCCATGTCCGGCGCGGTGGTGACGAAGTTCCAAAGCCCAAATGGCTTCCCATCTAAAATCACTTGATGGACGCAAACGGGAAGCCCATTGCTGGCAATTAGTTCCATCGGCCTTCTTTGAGATTCCGGGATCCCACCTAGCCAAACTCTGTCGGTCATTGTCACGTCCAATCTGCCATAATCGGAGCTCGTTGCGTTGATAGCGGGGAGATATCGCCCGGAAGTGGAGAGCTGCTTCCTGACACTCAATTTGCCTACATACATGGTCCTGGGGATATGATTGCAAGGTTTAAGTAACGCAAGGGATGACATAATCCCTTATTAAGGAATCATATTTAATTTCACCTTTCCGCCTCGACTCGGTACCAGAAATTGTCTTCTTCGATCCCACCTGACTCTATCACTTCTGGGTGGGTGATAACACCGGTACCTCCACCCACGTTCCACACGAATCTGATTTTTCGATTGACCATTTCCAACGCCACGAAATCGTCCTAAAAATTACCGGAAGATTGAACCTTATCCCCCTTACCAATATTATATAATAATTTCTCCTGGCTCCTCTTATCCCAGATTTAATCTCTCTCTTCACTTTTACTTTACTAAATAGGGGAGGAGAGAAAATGTAAGGAGGGATTTGAAATTTCGGAATTCCTTACGTTCATGCTACTCGGCAAGTAGAAGAGCACCCCCTCTCTGTGGTGCTTGTCAATGGCAAATGTCATGACAATGGTCGTTGTCGTGGATGGCTGCAATGCGGTCGGTCTGTAAGACCTTACGCACTTTTTGCCATACACTGATTTCAATGAAATCCTGATCTGAAAAGACCGAAGGAAAAAATATGTAATTTTTTATCCTTTCGAAAAGGCATCCCCCTAATTGTTAATTACCCCATCGGCGGTGTTCCGCGCCTCTGCGATTTTATTCTTAAGGTTTTGCAATTTCCTCGCCAAGGTGTCGTTCCATTTGTCGAACTCGGCTTGACGTGTCATCGCTGCGTGGGTCAAGCTTGTCAATTTGGCATCTGCTTTTTTAATGTCACTCTGCGCATCTGCCACTGAAAGAGCCATTATTGTACCTACCTCAAAAACTTAACTAATAATTATTCTAAATTAATTTCCATACACTTCTCAGTGGCGAGGCTGATCTTCGAGTCCCCTTCTCGTTTCAAATCGTTCAGCTTTGGTTTCAAGACGTTGGACACTCCTTGATTAAGATCCTCTATCAGAATTTCCGAACGGTGAATCGATCCCAGGACTTCTTCGTTACCCGCCGAAATCGTATGCAAATTATCTTGCACTGAGGGCGGAAATAAATTTCGACAGTTAATAAATAATTGTCGGGTATTTCTGAGCGAGCTTAAGTAATCTCCTAAGTGTACGGCAATTACCCCTCTTGCTCTCGTTCTTCAACTCCCTTAATTTAATGTTTATCTCGTTGTCCTTGATCCCCGTACTGTTAAGGGTGTTTTTCAAATTTGCAACCCCCTGTTTTTGCCTCTCCAGCTGATCTCTTGCCGTAATCACTGGTCGATCATGTCGCATTGCCCTCTCCAATTGCTCGTTAGACGTCTTGAACATGTCTTTTGCACTGTCCAGCAGTGACCTCTCTCGAAATCCACCCGGGAAGACCTTAAACGAAATTTTCGCAATTTTTTTAAGCCACTTTTCGGTACCTTCAGACTTCAAGTACTTTCATTTCCACTATTCGTACAATGAAAGTTCAGAGAAAAAAACTACAATTCCATATCCATTGCCCAGATTTTTTTTTGCAATTTTTATAATTTTACAAACCTTATCATGAACGTCATCGGTTATCTCCTTCGCAGCTTTCCCGGCATTTAACGCGACCATTAATGTGTCAACAATTGTTTGATATGCATGACTCGCCTTCAAAGGATTCGCCGCCTCGTTCCTCGTCGCCGTGAATAAACTACAAACAATCGTCTTAATTATGTAAAACCGCATGGATAATGGTTAATATTTGAAGGGATAAAAATTCATTCATACCCGACATATTGATCGGCGTAATTCGAGAGATTTTGAGCGTGCTCTACAGCAGGGAGTACATATTTCTCCTCGTACTCGTAATTAAGTCTGTATAAAATCTCTTCCTTAACATTCAAGTCTTCCGTCCCGTTGATCAATCTACTTCGCAATTTAGGAATGCTCTGAAATACGATAAAAAAAATTCATATTCGATACCCTATTTTTTCCTGAATTTTTCCGGCCTTATCGAGGATACCTGAAAATTCTTCTCGCTGTCGAGTATGGATTTTCTCGCATCGTTGATTAACTTATCACCCTCGTTTATCGATTCCAGGATATCGTAATTCAAGCCAGTTATTTTATTCCGGTGATACTTGAGGTCGTCTAAGGTCCTGTTAATTTCCTTGTAGAATCCGTCGTAGGTGAACAATGTCTCCATGGTGTCCTCCAGGATTGTCCTCAAGTCCTTCACCTTATCGGAGAGAATTTCCGCGATTTTCTTGGTTTTTGCAAGGGACTCTCGCGGATCGTATCGAGAGTTCAACCAATCGATATATTCCACGGCGTCGCTGGGGAAAAAAAAAAAATTCACAATTACTATAAACTCCCTGGCAAATTAGGAGCTTTTTTATGAATTTTTATGAGCTTTTTATGCATTTTCTAGGCTTACTCCAAAACGCGTTGGATCTCTCGAGACTTATCCGAAAAGTCTACGATCTTCAATCCATTCAAAGTCCTCCTGGCCTCCTTGAGAGCTTTTTGAATTTCGACTTTCCGATCGCCGTCGCCGTACCTGAAGAGCTCCGACACCGTATCTGAGAGGAAAATATGGTAATTAATATTCATCAATGCCCTGTAATTTCGACCTAGTGTAAAAAAATAACACGGTCTTGTATAACCGAAGAAAAAACGACAATTCCACACCCTGCAGCTTCTTCTTCAGGGTGGAGGTTTCTAAAAGCGTCTCGAAGCCATTATTCTTGCACACCTCGGTCCTGGACTTCCAGACCTCAGCCCGATCCACCTGATCTTTCACCTGAAAAAATGAATCCCTGATATGAACTCCTGAGGTCCTTTATCGAAATTTCGAAGATTTATCAAATCCAAGCTTACACTCCTGAGGAGTCCTTCAGCGTTCTTCAGCATCCTGCTGTATTCGTACCTCGGTACGTTCCTCAGCCTTTGCCTGACTTTCTTATCAGCCTCTACCTCCTCGTGGAGCATCGTGGCATTGGAGTCGACAAAGTCAAGTTCTTCCCAGGGTGGAGGAACATACCCCCCAGAAATGTGCGTGGTCTCCTCAGCAAGTGTCAATGAGAGCAGCTCCAAGTCGTCCAAGAGGATCCCCGTGCAGTTGTCGTTGCACGCTAAGGTGCAACAGCGGTAATTAATTCCAGGACCAGTTGCAGAATTGATTAAGAGTGATAACAAGGGGAGAACTATCTCCTTCAGGTTCCGGTATATCACGCTTTGCCGACGAGCAATTGTACCTACACGTGCAGACGTCATTGATAAATGCATGTCGAGGTGCAGTGCACTCGGAGCAATCCCTCCCAGTGGATCCATCCCTGCAGGTGCATTGTCCAGTAAATTCGTCACATTCGTCCCCAGTACTTCCAGCTGGATTGCAGTTGCATGGCACGCAAACTCCCCCCGGCAAGTCCGGTTTCCCATAATAACCGAACTCGCATCTTTCGCAAAAGTCCCCGATGTAACCTGTCGACGCAAATGCAAATTTCGTATTTATGCTGTAATAATAATTAAAAAAAAAATAGAAAAAAATTGAAATTGACATCATCTCGTTTACCTGGTTTGCAGTGACAAATGGCTTCCGTGTCAGAGTTCACCACGCACGTCTTGGAGAACCTCTTATCAGCCTGGGGACAAGGACAAGGTCTGCAGCCCTCGAAATCGGGATCCCCATAAAAGCTCTCCGCGCAGACCTCGCAACGCGCCCCTGCTGAATTTTTTCGGCAATTCTGAAAAAAAGCTCACATTGCAATTCTTCCTGCCGGTTCATGAAAGACTTCAAGGGTACCGAAGTGGCACCGAATCGTTTGAAGTGTCGCAATGCAAATGTGGAGGCTAGAGTGCCAAGAGTGACGCTCGTGGGATTTCATGGTTTTCAATTGTTTTTTTTTTATATAATTTTTTTCACATTATAACATATTTAATTTATGACTCCGATGACTTATCCTCACCAGACAGTGTCCAGTTTCTCTGTCGCAGATCTCCGATCTGCCGTTGCACTGGCATCGCCTCGCCTCCCCGACGAGCTCGATGATGATAGTGGAAGTCGCGGTGCTATTGTTGTACCACCTATAGTAACCTAAACTGGGATCTTGACAGGAAGTGCTATTGTATTCCGGAGGGCACTCGCAAATCTCGATCCCCGTGGCCAGCGGGGGCGAGTGCGTGGGTGTCAGGACCGCAGCATCCAAAGAGGCCTCTAAAAGCCTGGAAAAACGTTCACAAATTTTCCCGTCTGCGTAATCACTCTCGATATATCGATGCCAGGCTCGAGAGATGCTCGAAAAAATAAATGAAAAAAAAAAATTAAACGTTCGATCAAATTATCCGTACTAGATATTCTGCAGTTTCAAAGGAAAAAAAAAAAAAAAAATAGAAAAAGCAATTACATTTAAAGAAAATCCCCGAATTAAGGGAATGTATGGTCTTAAATGAAAACACCATAAAGGGGAGTTAATTTTTTTTTTCCGGGCATGGATTTCAGTGAATTATGTTTGATGATACATTTCCCGGCACTTAGGAGGATTTCCTTGAAAATGGGGAAATCGCTCACGTGATTTTCTGGAATTCCGAGTGATCGGACGCCTTCAGCAGGATGTGCTGCACATTCTGCAAGGCCACCATGAGCTGCTCTCTGGACACCTTGTAATCGGGCCGATTGTGCACCTGCCACAAGGACTCGTGCAACCTGGAAGCAAACCCATGGTTTAGTTGGCCTTGCAGGGCAAAAGTCGATCCGAAGCTCGCACCGACTCTTCACCTGATCTCGTAGTGGTCGTTGGTAACTGGCAGGTGCAGGTAGTACTCCAGGATGATCTTGTTACCCTGCAGCTGCACGAGGGGATACCGCGAACTGGAGTGCAACGGCTCGCCACCTTCGGTCTTGGTCGAGAATCTCAGAAAACCGCCATAAGAAACGACCTATGGGATCGAAAGATCCTTAATCTGTTAAATGTAAAAGGGGGTACCGCGTAAAAAATATAATCCTTACCTTGTCCCCCAGGAAGGAGATTGGCAGCTGCCAATATAGGGGGTAATTGTAGTACAAATTAGATGACAGCGTGACATCGCCTTCGGTCCCAGGAATGACCGACAATCCGTTCGTCACGTTTAATCCTCCGTTAAGGGAGGAGAACGTCATCGAGGAACCGTAGTTCGTCACCTGAGAGTTTTTCGTGGTATCGTTTAAATCTTCCACTTTATTCCCCAATTTTTATAGGCAAGTGCTTTTTGAGGAGACTTACGACTACGTCATTGATCGAATCATTGACCGCCAGGACTCTCGGACGTGACAGTCTCCGTTGACCCCAGGTCAGTCCAGCTTGATGACAGAGAGTTGACCTCCCGAAGCAGAAGCACTCGGTGCATCCTTTTGGATTTTCTGCAGCCAGGCCGAAAGTCCCCTCTTTGCATTGATTGCACTGCCTGCTGATTGCATTCTCCTGCGAGTGGAATAAAAAAAAAAATTAATCACGACTGGAGGGAAATCCCTTATCGAATCCTTGGCATGGTGCACCGTGATAGCATGTGGACTATTTGTAAAAAAGGAAAAGGGCTTCGGTTGTTCGGTGAGTACCTTGCAGGGACATTGGCCATTTTCGTCGCAACTGCAGATTCCGTCTTGGCATTGGCGAGTGCCAAGGATGCTGCAGCTGCAGGGCCTGCACCTAGGGTAGCCGTAGTACCCCCTGCTGCACCTGTCGCACCTGAGTCCCTCGAACCCATCCCTGCAGGGGCATTGGCCATAGGCGTCGCAATGAGGCCTGGTGGACCCTGGGCTGCAGCTGCAGGGCTTGCATCCTAAACCTGGTACCAGGTCGTAGGACCCTGGTCTGCAACGATCGCAATGTTCTCCAAAAGTCAGGGCAGGGCAGATGCAACGTCCAGTGTCGGGGTCGCAAATGTGTCCTGGACGGTCGCAAATGTCGCACACTGTAAAATCATTGCAACAATTTTTTTAACATAATTAATTCCTGCTCCGGAGAGAATGATAAATGCCATAAATTCAGGGCTCGCTCATAAAAACCCCTCGAGTTTAATTTGCCCTAGATAAGACCGAAAAAAAAAAATTGCAAAAATTAATTTAATGGACATTTGTTCATGAGAAAAAAAAAATAAGTGCCTTTGAAAAGTGACTTAATTGTTATATTATGTTATAAGTGAGTTTAATTGTTATATTCCATTTAGACGGTATCAGTAGGCCGTCGTTCCTTGATAAGGCAAACGATCGCGGATTGGAGCGAGCCGGAGGAAAAGAGGACTTTTCTAGGGGAAATCCGAAGCTAGGGCGATCCACTTTGCGCCTCGTAAATATTGATATTACTTAACGACTTGCAACAGCTGCTCGTCGTAAAGCGTTTCTAGCTTGCGTTAATTCGCCCCTGGAAATGCACCTTAAACGGCGATTATGCAAATCCCGTGCACGAGGCATCCCGGCCGGTTGCGAGTGTCGTTTAAGACCTCCGACCGAACGACTCCTTCGGCTTCCTGCAGCTCCTCCAAAGGACGAAGTAAACAGACGTCCCATCCTTGCGACGTACTTTATGTCACCTGACTGGACGTACTTTATGCAAATCCTCGAGACCGACTCGATGGACCGCTCAGACCATGAGAAATTCCCCCATAAGGACATAACTTCTACAGAGATGGCTCCTCCTTTCCCATAAACAATCATGGGAATCAATATCATCGTCAACTAGTTACGAGCTATGAGCTCTAACACGGTTAATTTAATCCCTGACGACGTTAATGTTAATGTTAATCGTGTCAATGTTACCAGATCGCGCCTCTAGAAGAGGAGTGCCAAGGACCCCCATTAATTTCTTTTTTCCTTCCCTTTAATTCCAATTTATGAGCAGAATCTTTTTCAATTCGATTAATTAACTACGGACCATGATCATCATCATGAATGAGAGAAGGTTGAAATAGGATAAGAAGTTATCGGTGATTTTAAGGGTTTTAAGGGTCACGTCCATTATCATCCGTCTTTGTATGTTTATATCCCTGGGTTTAATTTATTCCTCCCTCCTTTTTCTTCTTCCTGTCAAGGGACAAGCTTTGAAAGGGCTTCCAGATTGATTTAAAGTCCTTCGAGGACGTCATTTATTCCGAGCTGTCATCCCACGACCTGCTATCGAGAGCATGACTCACATTGACATCCTTTCTCGGAGAATCCGTAATATCCTGGCAGACAGTCATCGCATCGAGGTCCACCCACGCCGGGTTTGCAATAACAATGTCCGGTGTCATCCCTACAGGAAGAGTTGAAGGATCCCATCGAGTCGCATCCGCAAGGGGCGCATCCTGCACCTGTCGCCATGCCCCAGTAACTGACCTTTGACAAAACAAATATCTCCCGAGTAAATTAACCACGAAATGGACACATGATCCTAAGCTAAAGAAACCCTTTAATGACTCCGTACATAACGCATATTTTTCTTAATAATTATTTCACATTGTTAATCAGTGGGGCTCGTTATCACGAGGTCCTTACCTTGCACTGGTCACATGATCTGCCAATCACATGGGGTTTGCATTGACATTGACCTGTTATGATGTCACATGCAGTGGACGTCGATCCAACGACGTTGCAGCGACAGCCTAGAAAAAAAAAATGCATCGCGTGTTATCACCTTAGGTCCTGATAAGTGACATTTCCTGCGTGGGTTCGGTTTATTAAAGACGGGTGAAAAATTAAATATTAGGCGGCAGGACATTTTCCGATCGTGAACAGTCATCCAGCCTCAAGGACTCGTCTTCGGAGAACTTGTCAGACCGAATACTAAATTTCGTCCTTTTCTATGTCATTGCATTTGTCAATTGGCAACGTGATCGGCGCGACGGTCCCATTGTATTCAAATTAGGGCCAGACACGAGGTCATCGATGATCTTTGATTATGCGACTCGTGCGTGAACTGTCTAAGTAAATCCGCGGATTATCCTTCAGGGTCCTGGAACTCGTCCGACAGCCGGGAAACAGGATCATCGGATTACCGTTCTTCTTAATGATGATAATTAATGACAATAATTTACAGTCAACGAGACGCGTCACTGTCTCCTTTGCGCGGCTTAATCCGCATTATGCAAATCGATTACCACTGATCAAATCGATCGCGCCTTTCCGATCGTATAACAGCAACATGTGTGTTCCACTCATTTCATGACTACATATATAAACCCGTTAAAAATGATTTTTAAGACGTAGCTCATCACGTCATTCAACTGAACGAAATAATCTCACCTGACAAATGATTAACAGTGGGTAAATAAATTGAATCTTAATGTGAAAGATTAAATCAGACTTTTCTTTTAAGTCATGCTGCATCCGGAAATGCATCCTTAAATGTGCAACAATTAAAGGATACTCTAACTACCACTTATTTTCCATAGTTCGTGTTTTACGGGAAATTGACTTGGAAATAATTACACCTTGTCACTAATTATGGGAGATTAATTACACTTTGTTTAATTATTCAATGTCGGGGGGAGATTGAGTTCTCTCCGGGGAATATCGCGCATGGCTGGAATAATATGCAGGATATAGTTGTTCCGATAGAGAATGCGATTATTGCGGTTAGGGCAGGGTAGATTAGCGATTGTTGGCATGTGCCTATTAGACGATGTATGCCGCTGCAGTCCGACTTGTCTGGTGCACCGATCTGCAGCTGCAGTGCTGCAACGCTGCAGCCCTATCGCCGTGTCATCGGACGGTAGCACGTGCGAAAGTGCATTTTAATCAAACCCTGGAACCGGTAATGCCGTGTCACTTGCTACTGAAACTGCAATTAAATCCTATCCCTATCTCAAGGAAAGAATTTTAATAAAAATTAATTTCCCCGAAGAAAAAAGAAATAAAAAAAAAATATGCATCCCCGTGCACGGCGTCTTTTTCTCCCGATTTTTCCGGACACTCGTATGAATTTCCGAAATATTTAATAATTATCAATCAATCGATCAAATAGAATTTTGCATATTCGGCTCGGATGGGATTGATAAGCTTTTTATCAATTTTAATGACGTCAATGACGGAGCCCCAATTTCGTCACCGACGAATCGAGGTTCGTCTCGATTGATCGATGCGAAACAAACAGCCGGACATGTGATCTCTAATTAACTAATTGGCAACGAGTCCTCAATTCTTGGACATGCTCGGTCATTTGGAGCAAATGTAGCGGTGGCTTAATTATCGCCAGCGGCGTGGCAAATCATTGCTAATTTGTTATCACAGGGCTTCTCATTCGACATCGGTTAATGTGACGCCCTTTAACTCCCACATTTTGACATCGCAATTACCGTGTACATGAAAATAATCGATACACTTGTCATTTGCATTACCGATCTCACGCGTACGCGTAATGAGGCGTAAAGCGAGGGTCCTTCAATTTTTATATTAATCTCGCTCGCATTAATCCTTAAGGGAGTACCACTGCAATTGCTCTGAAGTGCACCGTGCAAGTAGTCTAGTCAATAATTGGTCGGCCGAAATTATCATTTCCGTAATTAGCGGGGAGAAAATGTTTCTCTAATATTTGACAATTCATCGAAACGCATTTGACGGCTCAGAAGTACTCGAAGAAAATGTACGATGCACGTCAGTGGTATTTTATTGAATAGGTGCAGTACTGCAGAATGCAACATGCAGTAGAAGCCCTCAATCTAGCCGTCTATAAACGAAACGTCGCTTAGCCATTTCGAAGGTAGCATTACGCAGTAAGTGATACCTGGCCACTTATCGATTTATCGGTCGGTAAATTGCACGCTATTACGATCTTCTCGGGAGACCTCGAAGAGGAGCAAGGAGGCGAAGAGAGGCGACTAAATAAAAACCAAAGACGAGCCATTTTAATTTTCATCTATTTGAAAAAAAAAAATTTCGGGATCTTCTCCTTTATTTTAACGTCGATTTTAATTAATTCGCCTTAGAGAAAATAAATCAGACGAGCGATTTTAATTTTCCATCCATTTGAAAAATCCTCTCTTTAATTATAATGTCAATTTTAATTAATTTGTCCTAGAGAAAATAAATCAGACGAGCGATTTTAATTTTCCATCCATTTGAAAAATATGTCGGACTCTTCCAACTCTAAGACGGCATAATCAGTGTTTCAGGGTAATCCCCTCGTTGATTTTAATGTTAATGTTAATTAACTCGTCCGAGGGAAACCCATGTGAGCCCGGGAGGAAGGAGTAAATTTCGCGGCGCAGGACAAGAAGGACTTAGCGCTGCTCGGGCAAGACTTGTAAAGAGAGGAAATTACGATCGCACCTGAAAACGGTGTAAGGACGTAAAGTAAGTGAGCAGAATGTTTAACGAGGTGATACCGAGGGCCGATCTGTCGGGCCTCTTTGTGGGATCGTTTCGAGGCCGATTAAATGCCTTTCGGGTTTCCTTGGAGCAGCTGCCGATACAAGCCGAAGTAACATCGACGGACATCAAAGTAACGCCGACGCACGCGGAAATAACGCCGATCAACATGTAATTAACACCGGTGCACCTGATGTACAGAGGGATAATGTGGATACAGGTGAAAGAGGCGCGGACGGTCTCAAAAGTAAGTCCGACGTACGTAGATACGCGATACAAGTAAAGCAATTCCATTGTACAAGAAATGAACCCCGATTGAAATCTTAATTAATGCCGATGCAGACAAGAATTACACCGATTAATATGTAATAAAGGCCAGTGGGAATTTTTTTTATATTTAAATCCTATGGAATTTCAGAACGTTATCGACGGTGTAATGTCGCTAGGTGCGCGCAATGTCTCGTAGGATAATGATCCTCCATTAGACTTTCCCCTTTGGGCGGTACGCAAACTTTCTAAGCAACGAGGCGGAGCTTGGATATTCTAGTTACAAACCCCGGACTTTGAATCCGGTCATAGTTATTTCAGGGCAATGTTCTGTTATGCACAATGAGTGACGGTTATGGAAACGGGGGGACAAACCGCATTTAATTATTTTAAGTACGGAATAAATTCCAATCATTCCCCATGAGGGGATAATGCATATTTACGTCATTTATTATCGATAGAAAAAATACTAACCGAATGGAATTCTGCACTTTGTTGCATATCTATGTAATTGCAGCGTCCCCCTCCAGAGCACGTGGGCGCACATTACACGGTAATTGTAGTAATTAATTTCTACGTCGACATCCCACACCCTGGATATATTCACGCATAGGGAGAAATATTATTAAAATCCCATCGAAGGCCCTGTCGAGAGGTTAATTAATTGTTTAACGAGCGGTACGTCAGACAAATAATCCTTGAATTGCACAACGAGCGGCACGTCAAAGGAATTATAGTGCAAGACTAGTTGCGCTTAAGTGCTCCACTAGATGCAGTTATGAATCATCCGAGTATGTTTAGTATGTTTAGCATATGTACTCTCTGAGTAATTAATTTACAGGGAAGAATTTCTTTTTTCTACCCCATATTAATTAATGTCACAACTGCGTCCTGAAAATGACGCAGGACCCTTCGGCATTATTTATTTAATCTTTCCATGGCATGCCGTGGTAATTGTTTTATTCACGAGTTTTAGATATTAATTTTTTTTACCCAAGTACTCGTGAGTACTCTTTGGCGATCCTTTCTTGCAGGATTTTCAGGTTTTCAGCCTCGGTGCAGGACTTTCTATGCATTTATGGGTCCAGGACGATTCCTGCGATCCTGGGGCATCCTGCCTGAGATATCTGGTGGTTTACTTGGCCAGTAAATGGGAATTACATGGTGTGGCTGGAGAAACGCGAAATAGGCGAGGAAACCAGTCTTCCTCGTTTGGTTATCAGCACGCGAGCCGAAGCCGGAAGTACTTTGAAGGAGTACTTTTACCGAGCCACATCGTCCTGTAAAAATTCACCCCTGCTCTTCCCTGGATTCAATCTTAGAATCATCCCGCGAGAAAACTGACATTTGCAATTTACTCCAATTTATTCCAATTTATTTCAATTTATTCCATTGAAATAATTGCCACCGTTCAAAGGAATACATTTCCGCGGTTCAATGAAATCCTTTATCTCGGTGTCGGATTTTTATATACGTTCATTAGTACATTAATACATTAATTCTTTACATCCGATGTATGTAAAAAATTCATACGTCGTTTGACATCGCCGGTTAAATTTTGTCGGAATTCTAATTACGACTCGTTATCAAGATAAATGCAATGTCGGGGGTTTGTAAAAATGCATTCCCGAATTTATGCCGGGTCGCATGATTTCACCGAACACAGAGATTTACGAGCAATCGGTTCACATAGAGCAAGGGCCTCGTGTTTTCAGTTCTGATCGAGCGGAACGCATATCTTTATCGAATTAAAAAATTTGCATTCCGAGTTCGAATAAACCAGCGCCATAAAGCACATGCACTTTCGCGCCTCCTTTCCTTGATTTACGCGACGCCGTTCGGCCTGTTAAAAAATGATGTCAAATTGTCCCGACATAATGAAAATTCCCCCCTCGTGTCAAATGACAAAGAGAAGCGTCCCAAGACCTTGAAGACGAAGCAGAAATTATAATACGGGGTAATTGAAATACCGTGGAAATTTAAATCCGAGAGAGCGGCCCATTATGAGAGGATCGACTGTTTACGGAGC